TTATGATTCTGATCAAAGTGATCTGTAGTGGTAGCTGGGCTCCATCTAGTTCTGATCTCTGAGTAGTGGATGCTATGGTTCAAGTAGTCCATTAATCTTTTGGACTAATTGTTTCCTTGAATTTTTTATTTTCTTCACTCTGATTTGCTCTGAATGAGAGAACAATAGTTGCATCTTAGAAGGCCACTTGCAAGATTTTGGGACCCCAGTTGCTATTTACCAATGTAGGATGTAGACTATTACTGATCTTTTTTTTAAACATTTATTTTTAATTTTTGCAGTGTTGCCTGCCTTCCCTTCCAACCCCAGGTAACCAACAAAGAAAGTTTCCTTCCATATATAAACCTTCCCTTGAGTTTTTGTAATAATGAACTAATACTATGTTTGTCCTTCTGTGACTGACTTATTCCACTCGCATAGTATCCTCCAAGTTCATCCACGTTATGCTGTGTTTTCTACATTACTCTTAAGTGTTGCATAGTATTCCATTGTGTGTATGTACCATAGTTTGGTTATCCATTCTTCTGTTGATGGGCACCTAGGTTGTTTCCATCTTTTCACTATGGTAAATAGTGCCGCAATGAGAACATTACTGATCTCTAAGGTGATTCTTCTAAAGTATTTCAGAATATGATGTTTTGTGCAGACTTTAATTTTCTACCCTTTACCAAGTTAAAAAATTCCATTCTTATTTTAGTTTGCTCTGAAGCTTTATCATAAATAGGTGTTGAAACTTAGCAAATGAATTTTGTTCATTAATTGAAACAGTTATATGGGTTTTCTTTATACATTTATAAATGCTTAATTTATAATTTAATTTATAAATTATAAATCATTTACATTGATAGATTTTCTGATACTTATAACAATAAAATTTATCATGATTTTTAATTTATTTTATTCAATATTAACTTTTTAAAAAATTTTATTGTGATTTGGGTGAAAGTTTACAGAGCAAATTCACTTTCCATACAGCAGTTCATATACAGTTTGTCTCATGACATTGACTGCAATTTACCACAATATAACAGCTCTCTTCCCAGTTCCTCCCCATAGTTACCTCTTCCCTGTGTTTTCCCTCCCATACATTCTTGCCCCCTGAGCAGTCTCCCTGTGCATACGCTACCCTTCTGTTGTCCCATGATTGATCTCTTCAGGGAGTGTATCTACCTGATATAAATGATCAGCCCATATACCAGTCTTCTATTTGGCTGGAAGCCACAGGATTGGCTTCAATTCCAGACCTGAAGGGCGACTAGGCACCATAGTCTCAGGGTGTCTCTATCTGACCAGCAAAAATTTTTTTTTAAATAATTTTGAGTTTTGTTCCACATTTTTCTCCCACTCTATCCAAGATCTCCTACACAGATCCCCCTCCAAGTGGTTGACAGTGGTAGCCAGGCCCTATCAAGTTCTTCTGGTCTCATGGTCATATAGGCTAATTATCGCATGATTTACCAGTCCCTTGGACTAATTGTTTCCATGCATATTTGGTTTTCTTCATTCTTCTTTGCTCTGGAGGAGGAAAAGAACTATTGTTGCATGTAGATGGCTGCTTGCAAGCTTTTAAGAGCTCATTCACTACTCAACAAAGTAGGATGTGGAACAATGTTTTTGTGTAGTAGGATGTTAACTTTTTAAAAAGACAGCTTATAACTTTAGTAAGATGTTTGATCATCTTAGTGTTTAGTATCTCTAACAGCATTTTCCTGAGTTTTTTCTTCCTCTATTGTATTTTTATGCAACAAACTTTCTGAAACGTTATGTGTCTGTTAACAATTTTGTTACTCCCTTATATTTAATAAATAATTTTTAGATTCAAAGTTTTTTCAATACTTTAAAAATATGCCATTGTTATCTTAGATTGTATTATTATTAAAAGCTGATGGCAATTCAATTCTTCACCTTTTTAGGTTTTATGGACTTTCTTTCTGATAGCTCTTAGTGAGGTTTTTTTTTTTTTTTTTTTTTTCGTTTTTTTTTTTTTTTTTATGCACTCTTGTGTGTCCTGCATTTCCTCCATGAGAATGTTGCCCCTGTGGTGCCCTGTGGTCAATTGCTCGAAGGGATATATTTCTGTGGAGTATGTGGGTGCATCAATCTGGGTTGAGTGGTCTGCATGTACATCTTATCTTAGTAAGGTTCTTACATTTCATTGTTGTTGTTAGGTGTCATTGAGTCATCTCTGACTTAAAATGACCCTATGCACAGCAGAACGAAACACTGCCCATTCCTGTGCCAGCCTCACAATCCTTGCTATACTGAGCCCTTCATTGCAGCCACTGTATCAAATCCATCTGGTTGAGGGCCTTCCCCTTCTTCATTGACCCTCCACTTTACCAAGCATGATATCCTTTTCCAGGGAATGGTTCCTTCTGACAACCAAAGTAGGTTGAAACTTGTGGCCATTCTTGCTTCTGAGGAGCATTCCAGCTGCACTTCTTTAGGACAGATTTGTTAGTCCTTTTAGCTGACCATGGTACTGTTAGCATTCTTTTCCAAAACCACAACTCAAAAGCATCAATGCTTCTTTGGTCTTCCTTATTTATTGTCCAGCTCTCACATGCATATGAGGCAATTGAAAATGCCATTGCTTGGGTTAGGTGCACCTTAGTCTTCAGGGAGACATCTTTGCTCTTCATTAGTTGAAAGAGATCTTTTGCAGCATATTTGCCCAATGTAATATGTCATCTGATGTCTTGACTGCTGCTTCCCTTGATGTTGATTGTAGATGGGAGCAATCTGAAGTCCTTGACAACTTCAATCTTTTCCTCATTTATCGTGAAGCTGTTTATTGGACCAATTGTGAGGATTTTTGATGTAATCCATACTGCAGACTGTAGTCTTCATTCTTCATCAGTAAGTGCTTCAAGTCATCCTCACTTTCAGCAAGCAAACTTGTGTCATCTGCATATTGCAGATTGTTAACGAGTCTTCCTTCAATTCTGATGCCAGGAAGTATTTAATTATGTTTGTTGTTGTTTATTTGGTTCCTTTTGGTATTCTGTGAATTCTTCCAATCAGTGGTTTCTATCAAGCTTTCATTCTAAGAAATTTGCTTTTATTATTTTAAAAAATATTTCTTCTTTTCTATTTAGTTTTTATTTCTTTCTAGATTTCTAATTATCCAGTTGTTGACATTTTCATAATTTCTCTAAATATCTGTTTCATTTTATTTTTTACTTTTATCCCTTTATCCTTTTTTGCTTTCTAGAAGAACATTTCAATCTGATATTCTAATTTATTCTTTAACATAATTTATTATTCTGTGATTAGTGGTGTTATTTCTTTTATTATATTTTTTACTCCTAATGTTTCTACTTTTTTTGTTCTGGTATAGTAAGCACTATATTTTCAATCAATCTGAAAGAATAAAAATGCAAAGAGAGCCAAAACAGTTCTGATTAGGCAGAATAATATATGAGAACTTGTGTTACCAATTCTAATATTTCTGCTTATGTCTTTAAAAAAATATTTTCTCTACTTGTTTTATATTGCTAATTTTCTCCTTCTCTGTCTGTGTTCTTGGTCTCTATGTTCTAATATTTCTGCAATTGGGTCATATTTTTTTAGTTTGTTATTTTTATTTTTCAATGATTATATTTTTCATGTGTCAAGTTAGTTTGGCCAATGAGCAGCTTCATGATTTGGGGTATTAACTACTTTGTCTGATAATCAATCATTAGGAAATGGCCAAAAGCCATGCCTTAGTCTGTGTCCTTCACAAAATGTTTAGAGAGGACACAGGAGTATCCTAAGTGTAGAAAGCTTCATACAACAGAGAAACAATGTTATTCTATCTTATTTTTACCACTCTGCCAGTCTCTTCTCATGGTCACACATATACTTTTAAACTTGTTGGGGGAAGTCCTTGTCCTCATAGTGACCCCCATTGGGTTTCCAAGGCTGTAAATCTTTATGGAAGTAGATCACCCGATTTTCCTTCCATGGAGCAGCTGATGGGTTTGAACTGCTGACCTTTGGTTAGTAGCCAAATTCCAGTATCCACTATGCACCATAACTCCTTAATCAGCTTGAGAGGGGGAAAGACATAGGCAAGTGAGAGCCTATGGACCTGTCCAACTATACTTTCTTATGCCAGCATGGCTTTTATGCCTCTTTGATTTTACCTTGATACCCTGAGCCTAGTCTATAGCTCTAAGGTATGGGGGAAAGATAGAATAAAAGTTAAAAGTGTTTCTTAATATATTCTTTCACTTATACCTCTGCTTATACCTTCATTCCTCCCTACATTCCTTAGTCTGAATCCTCCGTACTCTCTAACCTTCAGTCACCTCCAGGGGTTTTACTCACTCACTTTCTTTCTCTCTCTCATTTTTTATTATTTGTTGGTAGGAATGTTTCTATTGATTTTGAGATCTTCATAGCAATTAGAAATCTTTCCCTAATTTAAAATGTGAAATCTTTTTATTTCCCCATCCATCACTTATAGAAAGTGCTATAAATCCCAAAATTTAAAAAGCCAAAAATTTCTATTTTGCAGCAGTGTAGAAAAGAAGCAAGGCTTGCAGGCAAACTTGAAATTCCAACTTTGACATTTATTAGCTATGTGAATGTTGACTAGTCACTTAACTTCTGTGAGCCTCAGTTTACACACATATATAATGGGAAAAAGAGCATATATTGACTAAAAATGACAGACATTTTACTATTATTTTTATACTTGTGTTTAAATGACTTCTTGATGTAAATTAGGCACTCTGGTAACTGCATTCTATTTTTCTTTTTTTCATTTAACTAACCGGAACTCAAAAGAACCAAAAATGTTATTGTATATTCCAGAAATCCTTGATTTACTCTGAATAAATTGCTAAAGCATTGGAACAACAAAAACAGAAATATAGAATGTGAATTTAATTAACACAAATTTATTTTTGTTGAGTAAATTCTGTAGTATTTTCTCTGATTCTCTTAATGTTTTATTCACAGGAAGAAATAAAATCTTTTCATCGTAATTTGGAAGCTAAATTGGTAACAAAATGAAGCAAGCAAAGCATCTGTCCTCCACTTGTAAAAAATCAGCACATGTTCCAGAATTACATAAAAAAAGACAAGTTATTTCATCAGTGTCAGCTAAATCAAAGGAAAAATGTAATGCAAAATCAGTAAATGATAAAATTGAACCAATGGTCCTAGGTTCTCCACCAACAGGAGAATCCATTGTAAGATATGCTTTGCCCATTCCATCAAGTCAGACAAAAGAATTAATAGCAGAAGATCAATTGATCAGGAGAACTACTAAACATCTGAGTCTGGTAAGATTTTTGTTAGTCCCTGTGTCAGGAGTCCCCAATGTCACTCCCAGGTTTGGTGATTCACAAGGAGGACTAACAAGACTCAGCCTATAGTCATGATGATGACTAAGATTTATTACAATGACAGGATACAAAGCAAAACCATCAATGGGAAATAGTCCATGAATTGAAATCTGGAGGAAACCAGGTGCAAGCTTCCAAGAGTACTCTCCCTTTGGAGTCACAGGATACACCTGATTCTTCCAGCATTGAATTAAGACAACATTTGTGAAATGTTTTCTACCAGGAAGGCTTATTAGAAATTCAGTGCCCATTCAAGTCAAGTTTCTACTATCTGTTTAACATATACCATCCAGAATCTTAGAAGGATAGCAGGTGTTCAGCATAAACCCCACTGTTTGTGCAATTTAGTCATAGAGTTCTTAATAGTTCCGAGAATGATTAGGACACTTCTGAAATCCAAGTTCCTTGATGCCAGACAAAGACCAATCTTACAGCCAGGGCTTTCTATGAATAGTAGTCTCATGCCAGCTTTGTTAACTCTTCTCTGCACTTTAGGAACTAGTTCTTAGTGTTGACAAAAATTCCTTTTTTTGACAAGGTTGTAGTCACTTCTTGGCCACAGCCAGCTACCCAGAGGGACAAGTAGTTGAACCTGTGGGCTCAGGACCATAGTCGCAGGGCACATCAAGCTCAATTGACGTAACATCCTACACAAAACATTGTTCCACATCCTACTTCCGTGAGTAGTGACTGGGATCTTAAAAGCTGCAAGTGGCCATCTAGATGTAATGATGGGTCTCTTCTTGTCCAGAGGAAAGAAAAATGAAGAAAACCAAAGATTCATGGAAATAATTAGTCCAAGTGACTGGTATCCCATGCGATCCTCAGCCTGTATGACTATGAGACCAGAAGAACTAGATGGTGCCCGGCTGCCACTGTCAACCACTTGGAGGGGGATCTCTGTAGGAGATCCTGGATAGAGTGGGAGAACAATGTGGAACAAAACTCAAAATCATTTAAAAAAAAAAAGGACCTGGTTTGCTGGTCTGATAGAACCTGATGGAACCACTGAGATTATGGCCCCTAGCTGCCCTTCAGGTCTGGAATTGAACCCAATCCTGTGGCTTCCAGTCAAACAAAACACAGGGTGAACATTTACATTAGGTAGATACACTCCTTGGAGAGAAGAGTCATAGGAAAATAGAAGGGCTGTGTGTGCACGGGGAGACAGCTCAGGAAGCAGAAGTGCATGGAGGGAAGGACAAAGGGAAGAGGTAACTATGGGGAGGAAGTGGAAGGGGAGCTATTGCATTGTGGTAAATTGTAATCAATGTCATGAGACAAAGTGTATGTGAACTGCTGTATGGAAAGTGAATTTGCTCTGTAAACTTTCACCCAAATCATAACAACAAAAAATCCCCTTTCTTTGAACATTTTTTGCGTTATCAAGCCAGGATTGAGCTGTAAATGCACCAAGTACTAATGAGAACAGCAGGTAAGAACATAAATATATATAAAAAAAATTGTTTGTCAAACTTCCAAAACAGGATTTTCACCAAGTTTGAGGGGTTAACTCAGAGAATTTCCTTTAAAAATCTATTACTCTGTGATCTTCATCTATTTTTCTTCTCTCTTTGGAGGAGAAAATAAAGTCAGTCATAATTTGAGAAAAACTTAGGGTTTTGTTGATGCTTCAACAATTCATGGACAGATACATTCCCTTTTAGCTACCTGTCAACACAAAAATGGTAGAGTCAGAAGGCATTTCTATATCATTAAGGCACAGGGTCAAAAAAGAGTAGTGCTCACAGCTTCTTTTTCATGGGATGTTGTTATTGGGTGCTGTCAAGTTTGTTCCAACTCAGCAACCCTATTTACAATAGAATGAAACACTGCCTGGTTCTGTGCCATTCTCGTAATTATTCCTGTGATATAAATAAGAATGTAAGAATTGGAAAAGTACATTTTATGGCACAAGCAGAAAACAATCCTAGTGATAAAAAGATCCTGGTATAGTTGACTAAATAACTTTTTATAATTACTATAAACTTTTAAGGGAGCTCTGGTAGTGTAGTGCCTAAGGCACTTGACTGCTAACCAGAAGGCTGGTGGTTCAAACCCACCAGTCACTCCTCAGAAGGAAGGTTGAGCAATCTACTTCCTTAGTGATACTGCCTCGGAAACCCAAGGAGGGGTCGCTATGAGTCAGGTCTGACTCAACGGCATATAACAACAACAACAACAACATAACATTTTAAACTATGAAAATACTAACTTGCTTTCATTTTTGGTAGGTTGTTTCTACTTTGGAAGAGGCCTATGGAATTAATGTTGAACCTAGGCGAAAATTAGTCATGACACCTGACAGTGAAGAATTGTCTTTATCTGTAAGTATATGTAACCCTAATGTAAGAGACATTAGCATCAAAAGGACTAAGCTTTTCTCTTGAAGTCTGAATATAGACTCAGAATGAATTTCCCATTTGTGGAAACAATCCTTTTAGGAAAACTGAAAGTAGTGTACTGATTTTTTTTTTGTGCTGTGCCAACTCCTATTTTAGAGGTTAAGGCATATTTACATTTTTAACTTATTTCAAATGCTAATGTTTCTTCTGTTTAATTTTTAAGCTTGTTGTTGGCTCTTTCTTTGAAATGCATATTGATTATCATGTTGACTAAGTATTCTTCTATTCCTGGTTTGCTATATAGAAAACAAAACAGTAAAGAAAGTTACTGAGTTTTAATAATTGCATTTATTGTATATGTTGAAGTAATATAACCATTGAGATTATATGATTTTTCTCCTTCAACCTATTGATGAAATTAATTATTTTAATATATTTTAATTATTTTTTTCACCCTATATATCTGTTGTTTGCTGGAAGCCACAGGATTGAGTTCAGTTCCAGATCTGAAGAGGGCCTAGTCCTGAGGGTCTTACCAGGCTCTATCAGATCAGTAAACCTAGTCTTTTCTTATGATTTTGAATTTTGTTCTACATTGTTCTCCCACTCTATTTCCAGGATCTCCTGCACTGCTCCTTTCCTAAGTTGTTGACAATGGTAGCCAGGTACCATCTAGTTCTTCTGTTCTCATGGTCATACAGGCTGAGGGTTGCATGGTCTACTAGTCCCTTGGACTAATTGTTTCCATGAGTCTTTGGTTTTCTTCATTCTTCTTTGCTCTGGACAAGGAGAGTCTCATTGTTACATCTAGATGGCCACTTGTAAGCTTTTAAGACTCTACTCACCAAAGTAAGTTCCTAATCACCAAAAGTAGGACATAGAACAATGTTTTTGTGTAGTATGGTATGCCAATTGAGCTTGATGTTCCCGGTGACCATCATCCTGAGCCCACGGATCCAACCACTTGCTCCCTTAAGGTGGCTGACTGTGGCCAAGAAGTTATCATAACTTTGCCCCTTATTAGCTCTGTTATATATTTGGACATTTTTATAGCACATACAAATATGTATGTAGAAATATAGTCTGATATATTGTATGATCCCATTACTGGTCATAGATATATTGGTCATAGATATATTTTCTTTTGACCAGACATACCTGATCATTAAGCCTGTCTACCTATCTGTTTACCTGTAGGTTAATGTTTGTTATGACTGACCACACAGTATTGTATATGTAAAGGGGTTTATCTTTGTTGTCTGTACCTCTTGTGTATCTCTCTGTGTCTTCTTCCTTAGTGCCACTGTGTTGATCTCTCACTTTTGGTACATTGCCCAATATTTTAACATATTTTTATTTTTTAATTTTTATTGTGCTTTAGGGGCAAGTTTACAGAGCTGAGTTTGTTTTACATTCAACATTTTGTGTACATTTGGTTTTACTCCCCAACTACCATCACCAACCCTAACCTACTCTCCTCCATTCCCTTCCCAGTAACCACCCCCCCACTCCCATGGCCCTCATAGTTATGGACCCCTGTATGTCCTGCATTTCCTCTGTGTGAATGTTGCCCCTCTGGTGCCCTGTGGTCAATTGTTCCAAGGAATGCATCGCCACAGAGTATGTGAGTGCATCACCTTGGGTTGAGTGGTCTGTGTGTACGTTTTATTTACTATTGGGCTAAGAGCCAGCCCCTGAGAGTGAGTTTTATTCCAGGCCTGAAGTGTGTCACAGAGCCATAGTATAGGGGGCCCCACCAGAGTCCACCCAACCAATAATTCTAGTCCTTATTGTGTTTTTTGGATTTTGTTCCATGTTTTTCCTCCCACTCTATCCAGGATGTCCAGTTTTGATCCTTTCTTGAGTGGTTGGCATTGGTAGCTGGGTACCATCTAGTTCTTCTGACCTTGAGGTCCATCATGTCCTAGGGCTGATTGCTTCCGAATGCCCTTGATTTTTTGCACTCTTCTTCACTTCCAACAATAGGAGACCATTAGCTGCATCTTAGATGACCACTTAAAAGCTTTTAAGACCCCAGTCGCTACTCACCAATATAGGCTGTGGAACAAAATTTTTATGTATTTTATTGTGCCAGTTGAGTCTGGTGTCCTCCAATATTATGGTCCTGAGTCTCTAGATCCATTGGATCTCTCTCCTATAGTGTCTGGCTGTCTGTGAGGGATTGTTCTATGTCTGTCTTCTGTTGTTTCTATGATTGCAGGTATTTTGTAACACTGGTATCTGTGCAAGATTAGTCTCAGCTGATTATATCCTTGGTCTAGAGTATGATCCTGTTCACTGACCCACATCTGATCTCACTTGTCTATGTATTTATCTGTAGCCTGGTGTTAATGGTAATGCAGTATTGTGAATATACTGGTATTAACCTCTGTCATCTATATCTTATATGCACAATTTGGTGTCCTCCCTTTCCCCAATGTTATCATGCTGGTCACAGACTCTTTCCATATCATCCTTCCCCTTAGTCATCTCCGTGTGTGGCCCCCAACTGAAATTATTCCCTCCCCTTTCCTCCCCACCCCTGTAACCTACAAAGTGAGTTCCCTTCCTTAAGCAAACCTTTCTTTGTCTTTTTACAGTAATGGGATCATACAATATTTGTCCTTCTGCAGTTGACTTATTTAACTCAGCATAATGTCCTCCAGGCTCATCCACATTGTGAGATGATTTGCATATCCTTCATTATTCTTTAATGTAGCATAGTATTCCATTGTGTGAATGTACCATAATTTAGGTTATCCATTCATCTGTTGATGGGCATTTAGGTAGTTTCCATCTCTTTGCTATAGTGAATTGTGCTGCGATGAGCATTGGTGTGCATATGTCTGTTCATGTCCTGCCTCTCACCTCTTTAGGATATATTCCTAGTAATGGAATTGCTGGGTCAAATTGTATTTCTATTTTCAGTTTTTTAAGGAAACATCATATCATTTGCCACAATGGTTGTACTATTTTACAATCTCATCGGCAGTGCACAAAAGTTCCAATCTCTCCGCAACCTTGCCAGCATTTGTTATTTTCTGTCCTGTTGAACTTTGCTATTATTGCTAGGGTGAGATGATATCTCATCATTGTTTTGATTTGCATCTCTCTAATGACTAAAGATTGTGAGCAATTCCTCATGTGATTGTTGGCCACCAGCATATCATCTTCAGTGAAGTGTCTGGTCATATCTCTTGCTCATTTTTGAATTAGGTTTTTTGTCTTTTTGGTGTTGAGGTGTTGAAGTTTTCTATAGATATTGGAGATAAGTCCTTTGTCAGATATGTCATAGGCAAATATTTTCTTCCAATCTGTAGGTTCTCTTTTTACCCCTTTGACAAAATCTTTCAATGTGCACAAGAGTTTAATTTTTAAAAGGTCCCAGTCATCTAGCTTCTTCTACCACCTGTGCATTCTGGATTATGTTTGATAGTCTATTTATGCTGTAAATTAGGGCTCCTAGATTTGCCCCTATTTTAGCTTTGATGAATTTTATAGTTTTGGGTTTTACATTTAAGACTTTGATCCAATTTGAGTTTGTTTTTGTGTATGGTTCTTGTTTCATTTTTCTGCAAGTGGATATCCAGTTTTGCCAGCACCAATTGTTAAACAGGCTGTCTCTTCCCCCATTTAATGGGTTTTGGACCTTTGTCAAAGATTAGCTATCCATAGATGAATGGGTCTATTTCTGGGCTTTTGATTCTGTTCCATTGGTCTATCTGTCTATCATTGTACCAATACCAT